GGTGAAGGGCAAACTCGTTCTCCTACTTTAGCCGGAAATCATCGGCACCCAGTCTGGCGGTATCAATTTGCAGAATGACATTGCCGTTGGCAGTAGTGGAAGAGATAATCTTGTTCTTAAGATCCTCAATGGTCAGGTGGTATAAGCTGTAGTCATGATCAAGTCCATGGCAAGATCCAGGACCATACTTTTCATACCAACCCTTGATTTTTCTCTCCAGTTCGGCATTTGCTTCCTCCAGAGCCCATGTTATCCAGGTAGGATGCCAAACGGTCATTGAGGTTCTGCATGGTCACCTTTTCATTTCTAGAGAGCAGTCCCCCTTCATTTCCAGCAAAGCCAACACAAGCTACATTTCTAAGGGCACCAGCAGTATGGCTCCCACCAGACACATTGCAATACTTATTCATTCTTCATCCATCAATATAATTTGTGGCTGACTTGCAAAGTGAATTGCAGACTGCATGAGAGCTAATAAATTTTCACATATCAAGTGAAATCATGTGAAAAATCTCTGAATCTATTCTGTTCCCAACTAAAGTTCTGTTCCTACCTCACAACTGGCTCTGACATCAGATGCTCACGTGGCACTTTCCTCCTACTCACAAGTGAAAAGGACACTATTACCCTTCAGAGTGCCAAAAAGATAAATTCTAGCCACACATCACCCTTATGTCCATCTACTGCTGTTAACCTCAAGGTTGTTGTTGTTATTGTTATGTGCTGTCCAGCTGCCTGCGACTCATAGCAACCCTATGTTGTTGTTGTTATGTGCCATTGAGTTGTTTCTGACTCCTAGCAACCCTATGCACAACAGCTCTAAACCCTGCTCTATCCTGCACCAACCACACCGCCTCTGACACACCCATCCCGATTACCTCAGTCACCGAATCAATCCATCTCATAGAGGGTCTTCCCCTCCTGCGCTGTCCCTCCACCCTCCCAAGCATGATGTCCCTCTCCAAGGACCCGTCCCTCCTGGCAACATGTCCAAAGTATGTCAGATGAAGCCCCAGAATCCTTGCCTCCAAGGAGCAGCTTGGTTTAATCCTCTCCAAGATGGATCTGTTTGTTTTCCTGGCAGTCCATGGTACATTCAGTACCCTTCTCCAGCACCACAGCTCAAAAGCATCCACTCTCCTTCTGTCCTCCCTAGTCACTGTCCAACTCTCTGATGCATAACAAGCGATTGCAAAGACCATGACCTGTATCAGGCGCACCTTAGTCTCCAGAGAGACACTGTTGCTCCTGAGTACCTTTGAGAGGTCCCTAAGAGCAGACTTTCCCATCGCGATACGCTTTTTGATTTCCTGACTGCTGGTACCAAGAGTGTTGACTGTGGAGCCGAGCAAAGTGAAGCTGTGAACACTCTCAATCTCTTCGTCATCCATCCTGACGCTGCCAATTGGTCCAGTGGCAAGAATCTTTGTCTTCTTGACGTTGAGCCTTAGTCTATACTGAAGGCTGCAGTCCTTGACCCTTCACAGCAAGTGCATGAGGTCCTCCTCAGTTTTAGCAAGCAAGGTTGTGTCATCTGCATAACAACAGCCTAAAACCCTGCTCTATCCTATGCCAGTCTCACTGTCTCCATCACACCTACCCCAGTGACTGAATCAATCCATCTCCTTGAAGGTCTTCCTCTCCTGCACTGTCCTTCCATCCTGCCAAGTGTGACATCCCTTTCCAAGGACTGGTTCCTCCTTGCAACATGTCCAAAGTATGTCAGACAAAGCTTCAGAATCCTTGCCTCCTTGAAGTAGCCCTCTCCAGGATGAACCTGTTTGTTCTCTTAGCAGTCATGGTCTATTCAGCACTCTTCTCCAGCACCACAGCGCAAAGGCATCAGCTCTCCTTCTATCATCTCTAATCATTGTCCAGCTCTTTGATGCTTAGCACGTGATTGCAAAGACCATAGCCTGGGTCAGGCACACCTTAGGCTCCAGACTGACATCATTACTCCTCAGTACTTTGGAGAGGTCCCTGACAGCAGACTTTCCCAAGGCAATACATCTTTTAATTTCCTGGCTGCTGGTGCCAAGAGTGTTAATTGTGAATCCAACCTCCCCAACCTCAAGGTAGCAGTTCAAATCCACGAGTTGCTTTGAGGGTGGGCAATCTCCACCCATGCAATTTATAGCTTCTAAAAACCCCTGGAGGGGGTTCCAACTCTACCTATGGGTAGAGTATTGCCTACAAATTCAGGGGTTTCCTCACACCCCCTTCAGAATGCCAGCCATAAATCAGGGGATTAGGGATTCACACCTCAACTCTATTTTCATCTTTTAGCTCCTATTACTTCTTCAGGTTTGATAATTCACTTAAACAATTCCTAAAACTCCTATTGTGATTGTTGTTATGTGCTGTAGAGTTGGAACCGACCCATAGCTGACCCTGCAGCAGGTTTTCAGAGGCAGTTAACCACACGGGAGGAGATAGTCCATCCTTCTCCTGTGGAGCAGCTGGGGGCCTCGAACAGCTTCTTGCCACTACCAGAGCTCTATATGTACACTATACTTAGGATTACAGGTTTAACAGGGTAAAAAGGATAGAAACCAGAATTTGCAGAAAGAAAACAATTAGGGGACAGCAGAGAGTTCTCAGCATGGAGCTTTCATAAGTCAAATGGTGGAGGAAGGGACTAGCCTCTTGCATGTTTCAATGTTTTTTACCAGGAGCTCTCAGGATTCCCTTACATAGACATCATTGAAGTCTCGTTGCATAGTCATGATCTGAGCCTTAATGAATATTCATGATTCATTAAACCAAGTCCCCTTTCTTCCTGGGCTTAGTTGACCAGGTGGTCTTTTAGCCTACCCAGCTCTCTGCTCATTTGCACAAATCCTGAAGTGCTGTCTGGAGGGGTTAGATAATGGTGCTTTGGTTATTCAGGAAATGCCAAGGATTATCTCCCTGGAGCCAAGGTCAAAGGTCAAAGTGAGTTTTTGATCTCATACAAACATTGATACTTTGTTACTGGCTGCTACTGAGCTAGGCCCAATTCCCAGGGAAGCCTATGCACAAGGGTACCAGACTGAGAGAATCCGCTGGGTTTTCACTGTCAAGTTTAGGAACCAGATCGATGCCTATCTTCCCAGTGTGGAAGCTCTGCTGAAACCTGATCCACAGACAGGTGGCTGTACTTGAGCTGCACTGACTGGGAATCAAACTCCAGTCTCTGTGTAGAATGTGAAGATTCTACCACTGAACTCCTTCAGGATGCATATCTTTAAATCAATCTCGCTCATTTGCCTTCAAGTTCAAACTGACCTTCCAACAAGTTTCCAAAGCACCGAGGAGATTCAAATTGCCAGAAAACTGTCATCTTTAAGTTAGCAGCACAACCCCCTATGGACTACATCACCAGAGCTCCTTTCATGCATCTATTAAAAGTCAAGGTAAAACTTGCATACAATTTACAAATTTCACCATGTTTTGATAAATATATACACCTGTGGAACCCTAACTCCTCCCCTGGATGGCCGCCTGGGGACTTCTGACCCGGCAGCTCAAGGCTCTAAAAAGAAAGAAATGACTGTAAACTCAATTTTTCTTTTACCATCTATCATCATGTTATCTATTGGTCCAATGGTGAACAGTTTGTTTTCTTGATGTTGAAGTATAATCTATAACGAAAACTGTAGTCTTTGATCTTTTGCAGCAAGTATTTCAAGTTCTCTTCACTTTCTGTAAGTTGTGTCACCTGCATAATGCAGGTTGTTGATGAGCCTTTTTCCAATTCTGATGCCATGTTTTTCTTCATATAGTCCAGCTTCTTGAATGATTTGCTCAGCACAAAGAATGAATAACCATAGAGAAAGGATATAACCCTGACACACACCTTTTCTGTTTTAAACCATGCAGTGCTCCCTTGTTCTGTTCAGACAACAGCTTCTTAGTCTATGTATTTCCCATGAGCAGAATGAAGTGTTCTGAAATTTATTCTCAATGTCAGCCATAATGTTATGATCCACATCGTCAAATGTGTTTGTATCATTTTCTGGTACTCTCTTCCAGCCAAGATCCATCTGACATCAGCAATGATATCCCAAATGCCATAGCCTCTTTTAAATCCAGCTTGAATTTATTTTTGAAAGAGAAAAGAAAAAAGATGTTCTTATAACAAAAATAGCCCCTTTTCAATTGTCCAGACAGAAGGTGATGGTAGCCTAGACAAGGTTACTCCGCACTAGAGGGCAGAGAAGGGGTTGGATTCTGGATGGATTTGAAAAACTTTTATTAAAATGTGACAGGATTGGATAGTCAACTGACTTGGGGGGGGGCAGGATAGAAGGGTTGGGAGATTAAGGCTTCTCACAAGAACAGCTGGAAGGACACAGCTACCACTGATTAAGATGGGAAAAGCAAAGGAGGAACAGATTTAGGGGGAAGATTGGAAGCCCAGTTTAGTATGGTCTTAGGAACCCTCCCCTAATATTTGGCTTAGATGCCAAACACATAACAAGACGCAGATGCCTGGAGTTCAGGGCCTAGGTTAGACATTTACGATAACCAGAATAGAGGCTGAGATTAGAGCTGTAATGTTAGATGAGTGTACCTGGAGATTGAACCGAGAGTACAATAGCCAAGGCCACACCAAAGTTGACAGGTTGGTGTAAAGAGGCGGCACAACCAGAGATGAGAATGTGGGTCTTGGAAGAGGTGAAGAAAATGCTTCTCAGAGGGAGGGGGTCACTGCACCAAATGCTCATCTAAGAAGGATCTGGGACAACGGACCACTGTCCAACATGCTAATGACATGACAGCTTCATATTCAGAGGACAGTTTCTGTGGTCCCATTTGAAAACAGGAAGACACACTAAAGCAGGTCCTCGTCTTGCTTGAAGACTGGGATAGAATCGCCCCAAAAGATTCTAATGGCGCTTTTCTAGAACCACTCGCTGCTCAGACTGTAATCTGGGGGGGGAGGGGGGGAAGTTTATTGATAAAACTAGAAAGTGTACAAATCAAGTCGTTTTAGCCTGGAGGGAGGGTCATTCTGGTCACAGCAGTTTCCGTGGGGATCTGGGTAGCGGCTCCTTGGCAGGGGACCAAGGTTCTCCGTCCTTGATTTGGTCCAGTAAGTAGGATAATCTAGAATCCACTTTCCTGGAGAAAATGTAGGGGAGCAAAGTTTAGGAGTGTCTGCTCAGGACTGGGGTTGGCCTCTGGGAGGGGTTTCAGGAGGATGACTCCCACGGGGAGTTGACTTAGGGACCCTGTGATGGAGATGGGTTACCTTTTCTGTCGCTGCAGTTCCTCCCTCTGCGCCCTTAACACCTGCAGCACAGGGTCGTCCTGGAACTCACTGCCATCCGAATCTGAGGATAAAGAACGACTCCTAGGGGATCTGACAAGGCCGGAGAGTCGATTCCGACCCACAGTGACCCTGCACTGGACTGCTGATTGTAAATGTTAAGTAAGGCAAGAAGACTGGCCATCTTTCTCCCATGTGTGGAATACCCGTCCTCCCACAACCTGGCTCACCTTCAGCTGCCTCCAGGAGGCGCGCTGCCTGGGAGAGCAGGTCCTCCGGAGCAGCACCGACAGCGGCGGGCGTGGCCTCGGACAAAGCCTGGCGAGACCCCACCTCCAGTCGAGGGGGCGGGGCCTGGGGAGGCTCTGTGACAGCCGCTGACTGTACGGATTTTTGCTTCCCCGGCTCTGCCTCTGCTTGGCTGGGCGGAGCTCTGGTTTTCCTAGGCTTGGTCTTCGACTGACCAGAGTTCTCAGCAGAAGAAAACAGTGTTTTGGAAGGGGACCCGGCCTCTGTGCAAGGAGACTGGACCTTCTCCTTCACATTATCAACCCGGGGCCGAGGCGAGGCCTCCCGGAGAGGGGGCGTGTCCTCCAAGGTGTCCGGGAATAGCCGGGCCAGCACTACTTCGCCCAAGGCGCCTCTGAGCTGTGATTCAGGTTCCTGGCTAGAAGTGGCCCCCCGCTGCCCAGCAGGTTCCTGGCATAGGGTTCTACCTCTCCAAGGCTTAGGTTCTTGCCTATTGGCCTGGGCGGAATTCCAGGGCACTGGGACTGGCTGGTTTGGGCGGATTGTGGAGGGTGCTGGAGTTGAAGAAATGGCTGCAAGTGGTACCCAGGGGTGGGGGCTAGGCTGGGGGGCCCAGAAGAACCCGTGGGGGACAGGAGCCCAGAGCATGTGTGGAGAGGGCCCCGGGGGACCAGGGGCCCTCATCACACTGAATGCCTCTGCAGGAAGCAGCTGGGCCCCACTGCCCCACTGAGGGGCACAATTAGGGGGAGTCCCAAGGGGACCAAGGGTCTCCGGAGGTGCAGGAGTGGTCTGGAAATAGAAACAAGGGTCTGAGAAGGAGAAGAGTGGAGGGTGATCATCCCTCTTAGACTGTACCCTCCCTCAGGACCCTCCCCTCCACCCTCATCTTACCGGCATGGTGAGCACTGGGGTTTTGGACAAAACCCAGGGTCCATCACCCTTGCTCCCTTGAGCCTGTTCAAGTTTTCTCCTCTGTCGCCACTGGTACAAAATATCATCTTCTGGTCGCAGGGGTGCCCTCGAGGAAACTGGAGCCAGAACTGGGGTGGAGGCTGGTGCCAGAGTAGGGGCTGCTGCGGCGGTGGGGGCTGCTGCCAGGGTCGGAGCTACTGCCAGGGCTGCTGCAGAGGGAAATAGAGGTGAGGCAGGGGCAAAATCAGAGAACATCCATGAGCTTTTCAGTCTGTCAATCACTCACTCAGTCATTTAGTTCTTGTGCACTAAGCCCTGTTCTGCACATCGGTGTTACAGGGATGTGCCCACCTTCCTCGTCCTCCATGGCTCCTGCCCTGGTCAAGCCCGTTACTCGCTGAATTATCACTGCAGCCTCCTCCCTGCTTTCCAGTTCTCTGAATCCCTCTAGCCTGTTCTCCACAGGCAGCCATAGGAACCCTATGAAATGAAGCTGAGTTGGCCCAAGGTTCTCCTAGCTCCGAGCCCTCCCCAGGCTGCATCTCATTCCAGGTGAAGGGGAAGAGCTCTGTGGTTTCCTCTGCCTGAAATGTCTTGGTGTATTTCCAGAGTTCACTTCCTCACATCCCAAATGCCACCTGCTTAATGAGACCTTTTCCCAGCTGCTCCAAAACTGCAGCCACTGCCCTTTCCTAGTTTTTTCTTTAACACTTAACTTTTTCTGAAATACTAAATATTGTCCTTTTTTCTTTATTGTGTCTCTCCCCCTCCACGAGGTCAGCTTCACAAGGTCAGGGAGTCTTGTCTGTCTTGACCATGGCCATATCCCCAGTGGCAATAAGTTTATTTGTGTCACAAATGCAAAATGAACTGCTTATCAGGCTCTATTCCAGTGTTCAGCTCTGTGTTGGGGACCCAGCATGGCCATGGACTAAGACAGTCCTGGATCTTGTCCTCAATCCAGGGAGGCCAACAGACAGATTCCCATCACCAGAGCCTCATTTCACCAGTCTTGATGGGCAAGGCTACCATTTGTCTGAGTTGTATCATATGAGTCTACACAGATGAGCAAGAAAATCATTTCAACCTCTCTTTTTTGCATCCTGCATTCTGTGTATCTACCTCCAGAGAGACCCACAGCCTTCCACTCTGATCATCAGGCTCCAGCTGAGGCCAAATCATCAGCATCTCTTACTGCATTTCCAGAGCAGCCAGAGGGAGTCTACTAACACTCAAGAGAGATCCCATCCTTGGGCTACTCAGAACCTCCCAATGTTCCCCATATTGTTGTTGTTGTTGTTGTTATGTGCCGACCCTATGTACAACAACCCTAAACTCCGCTCTGTCCTGTGCCAATCGCACTGTCTCCAACACTCCCATTCCAATTATCCCAGTCACTGAATCAATCCACCTCATAGAGGGCCTTCCCCTCCTGCACCGTCCCTCCACCCTCCCAACCATGATGTCCCTCTCTAAGGACCGGTCTCTCCTCACAACATGTCCAAAGTATGTTAGACGGAGCCTCAGAATCCTTGCCTCCACGGAGCCACCCGGTTTAACCCTTTCCAGGACAAATCTGTTTGTTTTCCTAGCAGTCCATGGTATTCTCAATACTCTTCTCCAGCACCACAGCTCAAAGGCATCAATTCTCCTTCTATCCTCCTTGGTCATTGTCCAACTCTGATGCATAACAAGTGATTGCGAAGACCATGGCCTGTATCAGATTCACCTTAGTCTCCAGAGAGACACCACTGCTCTTCAGTACTTTGGAAAGGTCCCTAACAGCAGACTTTCCCATGGCAATGCGCCTTTTAATTTCCTGGCTGCTGGTGCCAAGACTGTTGACTGTGGAGCCAAGCAAACTAAAGCTGTGTACAATCTCAATCTTTTCACCATCCATCCTGATGCTGCCAATTGGTCCAGTGGTGAGAATCTTTGTCTTCTTGACATTGAGCCTCAATCCATATTGTAGGCTGCAGTCCTTGACACTCTGCAGCAGGCGCTTCAGGTCCTCTTCAGTTTCAGCAAGCAGGGTTGTGTCATCCACATAACGCAGATTGTTGATAAATCGTCCACCAATCTTGAACCCACATTTCTCCTCATAGAGCCCAGCCTCCCGGATAATCTGCTCTGCATATAGGTTGAAAAGGTATGGAGATAGGATGCATCCCTGGCGTTCGCCCTTCCCAATTTTGAACCATGCAGTGTTCCCTTGCTCTGTTCTGACAACTGCCTCCTGGTCCAAGTATAAGTTTTGCATTAGAACCATCAAGTGTTCTGGGATTCCCATTCTTCTCAGAGTCAGCCACAGTTTGTTATGATCTACACAGTCAAATGCCTTTGCATAGTCAATGAAACACAGATAGACATTCCTCTGGTATTCCCTGCTTTCAGCCAAGATCCATCTAATATCAGCTACAATATCTCTAATACCACAACCCCTTGTAAACACAGCCTGGACTTCTGGTAGTTCTCTGTTGATGTGCTGTTCCAGTCGTTTTTGGATAATCTTCAGTAAAATCTTGCTTGCATGTGAAATCAGTGAGATTGTTCTGTAGTTTCCACATTCTGTTGGGTCACCTTTCTTTGGGATAGGAACAAATATCGATCTCTTCCAGTCAGTTGGCCAAGTGGTTGTTCTCCAGCTTTCTTGGCACAACTTGGTGAGCACGTCCATGGCAGCATGGCATACCATGCCACCACAGCGTGTGCTAACCTCCCTCACTTTTTGGACTACTTTCATCCCTGGCTCATACCTTTTGTGGTTCTATCTGTATGACACTTTCTCCCACTGCAGGTTCTTTGTATATGCTGGTGCTCTCTTGTCCCACCTTCATCTTTCTCCATTAAACACTTCCTCCAAGAAGCCTTCTCTACTCTTTCAACTCCATGTCTTACATGGTCTTTGCTTCTGTTTGTGCTTCGTATTTGTCTGTGGGGTTATGTGGCCATCTTCTGACCTACCCTCACTATGCTGTGAGGACCCCAAGGTGAGACCACATATATTTGGTTTGAATGGAATCCCCAATGCTGCTCACAGGGACTTCCTTGTCTATAGCAGGTGTTCAATATTTAAATGAATGAATACACATATGAATGAATTGAATGTACAAAACAACTCGTGAAGTAGGTGCTAGTTTTAGCCCCGTAAAACTGAGATGCAGATGAGAAAACTGAGACAGAGAAGGGAGGGGAAGTAAATTGTGGCGCTTGGAAGGAGCCAGGAATGACAGGTGCTTGGACAGGATCACACAGCATGCACAGATACCTATTTGCTTGTGCTTGCCTGCCCTTATTGACTAGGAAGCCTGCTGACATGTCCTGTGCACTGCTGCATTCAGAGTAAGAGGAACAAGAAAAGCCGTAACAGTCACTGGTCCTTGGTCTCATCTCTGAAATCTCAAAAGCAGAAATTCGAGAACGTAGGAGTTTGTATGTTTCAGCAAAGTCACAGCATATGCACAGGGCATACACGGTCTTGGGGTAGTGCATGCTGATGTGGGGCTGAGTCACAAGAAACTGTCCAATTGTTTGTGACTGATGAAAACAAAAATTTTGTATGGTCCAATGTAATACTATCCAAAGGAAAAACGTATGACTGTTCATCCTAAATATAGACTATAAACAGCCTCCTGTTCTCCAGGTCAGGGTCTGCTGTCAAATTAGGTATGGTAACCAAATTTGGGAATAGCTTCCTGCTTTTCAAACTTTGTTTTCAGAATATGAAAAGCTTAAAAAGGGTAAGGTTTTTTCAAATCTGAAAATTTTACAAGATTGCTGACGTCTGTGCCCCATGCTTTCTATTTACTAACTCTCTGAACCTTTCAGAGATGAAACCAATGACTTGGTTTACTGCTACTATTTTTCTTGTTCTTGTAAGGAGTTGTGCTGGTTTTAAAGCACCAACTGCTCCTCAGGAGAAAGATGGGACAATCTCCTCCCTTGCAACTTCCCACGGGAGGGACAGCTCAGAGTTGTTTCTGACTCCATGGTAATGATGGACTTTGAACCCCTAGGAGGAGAGTATAAATGTTATCCCCATTTTTCAGTCAGAGAAATAAGGCCCAGAGAGGTCCAAGGCTACAGTGCTGTTAAGTAGCATATCTGGGGTTTGTATCCAAGCATTCCTTTTTCCTAACCTTTTGGTACTCACCGGGTGCCCTGGGACCAGTGTCCTGGCTAGAGCCGGGGGTAAAGGTCCCGGAGAGGGGTGAGAGGTCTTCAGAACTAACAGGGAAGGAGGCACTGCTGGTATCACTCGGGCTAAGGGAGGAGGAGATCAAGGCCTTGCTGCAGGGAAAAGGCAGAACTGAGATCCCAGTGTCAGTGGGCTAGGCCTGCGGCTGCAGGTGCAAAAATGATGTTAGAGGCTGGGAGGCACCTGCGTTTCAGCATTCTGGCTGCTCTGCTCTGCAGGCTCAGCGTCTCCAGGTCCAGCAGGGGAGACTCCCATGTGTTGAGGCTCTGTGAGGAGAGAAGAGTCACAGCCCAGGCCTCACTCTCAAGGCTGCAGGTAAGGGGCCCTAGAGAGGGCCTGGAGCACATGTTGGTTTCTATTGGTTCTCTTGTGTCTGCCCCTCCTCCTCAGGGAAGAGAGATGAGGTTTTCCTCTGTGCATCCACACTCCTCATATGCAGTCCCTGCTGTCTGAAGAAGGTTAACAGCATCTCCCTGACTTCTTACTGTCATGTACTGCTGAGTTGGAACTGACTCAGAGGCTGTAAATCACATGGGAAGAGACTGACCATCTTTATCCTGGGGAGCAGCGGGTAAATTCAAAGTGTGTGCCTTTGAGTTGGCAGTACAACTCCTTACCACTAAGCCACCAGATCTCCTCATCTTCCTAACTAGCCTTGATCAATCAATCAAAAGAGTTAGTCGTTGGTGCCTCTGATATCTGCTAGTCTCTGGATAAGTCAATGAGAGGGAGCCCTGCGGTTATAGTTGAAACGACTAGAGAAGTTTCCACTAGAGGAGCTGCGTTAGTACATCAAAGTCCTGAGCCAGTACACTCTATCTTGGCTGCCGCAAGGGAAGAGCCTGCCTCAGATTCCGACCAAGAAAGAACAGCTATGGGAGTCTGGCTACTGCCAATAATGATCTAATGCCTACATCAAGTTATGGCCCAAAGCACCAACTTTTGGATTTTCAGCCAACTGTTTCTCCTTTTAAGCTGCTTTGTGCTGGGGATTGGGTTTAATCTAATTCTATCCTCAGGCTGATGCTGCCAGTTCAGCATATAGGGGAGAGAATGAAGGGAGATGTCACCTTTCTTTCCTGAAGGGGGTCCATAGCCTGGGATATGCTGGTCACCTTGTCAGGAGTTGGGACTGTTTTGCTGGGTCTTCTTTCCTGTTTCTTGGTCCCTGTGGAGAAGTCTCTATAAAGCAGTGAGGACTAAGAATGGCAGCTACTTGGGACATAATGAGGAAAGACAGGATAGGCCACACCCCACCCTGTGCCATCTTCACAGTCTCTGCCACACTCAAGCCCACTGCTGCTGCAGTCACTGCATCAATCCACCTGGTTGAGGGGCTTCCTCACATCTGGATAAAAGGAGAGCTAGATATCTGAACCTTAATAACACCCATAAAATATTTGACCTTAAAAAAAGTGGAGGTCATCAAGACAGGTACCTGCTGTGAGTTGACCACTGGGAACTGGAGACTCGGACCTTAGCCACCAAAAGTCGGCTGGGGTTAGGCCTGCAAGATGGCGCTCCTCTTGGCTTGTGGGCGGAGCCTGACGGAACCGGTTTATGTACCTAAGAGTATCATGGTATGAGGAGTGAGTGTGGTGTGGAGGGCTAAATAGTTATAGCCATGCTGTTAGGTGCCATCAAGTTGAGTATGACTCATAGCAGCCCTATAAACAGATCCAAATCCTGCCCTATCTTATGCCATCATCATTTCCAACAAACTAGAGCTCATTCAAGCAGTCACTATGTCAATCCAGCTGGTTGAGGGGCTTCTCTTTTACTGACCCTCCACCTTTCCAAGCATGATGTCCCCCTTCAAGAAATAGTCATTACTAAGAGCATGGCCAAAACAATAGGACAGTAGGATGTTGTTAGGTGATGGTGAGTCAAATACAACTCATAGTGACCCTAGAATAACAGATCTAAACCAAGTCACAAAATACAGGCCTTAAAAATGCTGCTGAACCAGCTCTGGCTGTAAGGACTATTATGAGATGCTGTCATCCTTTAACTCAAGCTTTCCTTTCACCCCAGAGCTGTTCGTACTTACTTTGCCACCACGGAGTCCTCGCTGTCAAATGGCACTGGTGTGGGTAGTGGGGAAATCATCTGTCCCTGAGAGGTGCTGGCTGGGAAAGAGGTTTCTGAACTGGATGGCCTGGACTCCTCCAACAGCTCAGGGGAGTTGGAAGCTGTAGGTAGAGCTTTGGGAACCAATGGCAGCCCGGCTATCAGGGACCAGGCCTAAGACAAGGAAGGAGAAGAGGGAAGAAAATGAGGTCTGAGGGGTCATTCCTATAGGGGAATGAAGGCACATATGAAGTCTCAGTTTGGAAAGAGAGAAAGAAAACACATCCTGCAAATGTTAACAAGCCAAGATAGTTTGGACTGTAATGGGGTTCCTGGTGGCAGAGGTCTGGACAAGAGGACAGACCATGGAAAGGGAAGAAGTGTGCTCTCTCCTCTATTTTTCTTCTATCTCCACATCACTCTTTGCTACTGGGTTGGCACACAGTATTTTCTGTGGGATATCTTTACTTTGGGGTATCAGACTTGGCTTTGGGATGGCCTAGGTGACCATCCACAAAGGGGCTGTGTTGAATGGAGAAAGCTGGAGGGCTGCAGGGGTGAGCAGGGATGGTGGAGGTGATATGCCAGAGGATGAGGGGGGGAGCTTTGTCAATGCAGCCTATGGGGGTGCATCAAATCACATAATAGTAGGATCAAACTACCATTTCAAGGACCCCTGGAAGAAACAAGCTATAATTCTCATGAGGCATGATTATACATTCAAGGTAAAGGTGTTGGAGGCATAATACCCATAAACCCTAAATACTAGTCTTTGCTTTCCAATCTTTGATCCAGTACGTTGTATGTGATGGAATAGATTCTGCAGATATAGCAGAATTGCCTCATTAGATTCCATAGACTGTAATCTCTACAGGAAAAGAGTCCTGGTGTCGTTAAGGTTGAGTCAGGCAGTTCAAACCCACCAACCACTCTGTAGGATCAAGATGCAGCCGTCTGCTTCAGCAAAGAGTTAAGAGTTCTACTCTGTCCTATATGGCCACTATGAGTTGGAATTCTCATCATCTCTGGACACATTTTAACACACTGCCACAGCCAGTGCAATGTCAATCCATCTCATCGAAGGTCTTCCTCTCTTTTGCTGATCTTTCCAAGTATGATATTTTCAAAGAAGATCTCCTAACAACATGCTCAAATATGTGAAACAAAGCTTTGTCATCCTTGCCTTCAAAGAACACTGTGGTTGTACCCTCTCCAAGAGTTATCTTGTTCTAAGTCTCAAGATTTATTTTTGTTCTTTTGGCAATTCATGGGCTATCCCAGGGGACCACTGACAGACCATCTCAAACTCTAAACTCCCTGAGTAAGCAACGCTGTAAATTACATATGCGGAGATTCCTTACAAATGAGCGTTTTTACTTTCTCTGGCAGAGCTGCTAGATTTGAATAGCCAGAGAGGCAAGGCCTTTGGGTAAGCAGTGCAACTTCCTACACTGTGGGTCTTCTGAGCTCCTTGCACTTATATTTCGCATAAGGCTCCAGGGAGGGAGCAAGAACACTGATGCGAGGACAAACACCATAAGGAGACCCGGTGGTGCAAAGGTCAAGCGCTTGGCTGCTAACTCAAGGGTCAATAGCTTGAATCCACCAGCTGCTCAGTGGGAGAAAGATCTGCCCCGTCTGCTTATGTAAAAATATACAGTCCCGGAAACTCTTTGGGATAGTTCTACTCTGCCGTGTTGGGTAGTGATGAATGTGAATGGACTTGGGCAACGAATTTTGGTCAATCCTCAAAGTGGCTGAACTCAAGCAAAAGTAAGAAAATTCAAAAACAAGGAAATGTAATGTCTTAGACAGTCCTAGATTTCCTCAGAAAGAAGAATTTAGAATCATTTATAGGAACTTAAGACCGCCGGGAGCGTGATGCCTAAGGCTGGCTTGGCTATCGGCCGTGAAGCGTCTTGGGAATTGTAGTTCTTCTACTATGGTTGATCCTGATAGACTCGGCACACTAGCGCAGCTGCCCCGAGGCTGTGTCCCCCACATCTTTTGGTCCTCCCCATCTCTTGTGGCTCCTGGAAAAGGATCGACCTCACCTTCCGTCTATCCCGCGTCCACCACGGTGCTTCCGCCAGCTCAGCTTCTTCCGCCAGCAAACCTCGAGCGCATCCTTGTCGCTTAGCAATCAGCCCCTCCCCTTTCTGGGAGTACCGGCGCGGAAAAGAGCGGCCTCCGAGGCCACCAATGACCAAGCGGGAAATAAAGATGCCAACCAGGTGCCAACGAGAGGTGTGTCATGATTGGCCATGATGTTCGTTTGCATGAGAAAGCATGTTTGATTGGCGAAGTTGTAGCGTGCAGCAGAAATTGGCAAGCCTGTGCACCAATGAAAATTATTTTAGGATGAAGTAGTGGTTAGAAGGCTCGAAGAATATAGTCGTTTTTCTTTTTCCCTTATGCTGAAGAAGTCTCTTCCTGACTCCAATCTGGTCACAGTACTTCATGTCTGTCGCACGGGCAGCCACAGCGGTTGTCCCCTTTCTAAACTTCGTCTTTTCCAGTCCTGCTGATTATCTAACCAGTTCTCTCTTGCTGCAAGAGCAGCTGGTTGCCCCAGGCTCCAGGCCTGGGCTCCAGGCCAAAGTGGGTGGATAGCAGGATAAAAAGGAGCTATTTCGAGACCCAGCGCGGGGGCCCCTGAGGGGCCAACCTAGACTGTTCTTGTCCGCGCCCCCTGGCCGCTGCTCACTTGGCAGACCCGGCTGCCCCGTGCACCGAAGCTGAGTCAGAGGCCCAGAATTAGGCCCAGCCTACCGAGGGGCTGGGTCCGAGCCTTTTCGAGGGTGGGGGTAGGGTCTGCTCCATGTCCTCCTGAAAGTCCAGCCTGGCTACCATAGTACATTACGATATACTCTACAACTTGCCCCCAACCCGTCATCCCCGGAAACTGCCGAACAGGAGTGGATTAAAGTAACCGAAGGCTTTGCGGTGGGGTTTTTGCTCCCTGGGTTTCAATCGCAGCACTGTGCTGCCTCTCCAGCCAGGCTCCGCCTCCTCGGCCTTAGTTTCCCCTTCTAGAGACTAGGGGTCGTAGTGATACCACCCTAGAAGCCTTTAGGAAGCATCCAGCAGGCGCTTAATAAATAGCCAAGTAATTGTTGGGCTTTCTAAATAAGGTTCTACTTAATGGTCAGATCTGGCTATGGTCCCCAGTGTCCCTGGGCGGCCCGTGAAGGGCGGGCACAAAGGCGAGCTATAAGGCGAGGAGCGCTCAGCCAGCGCATTTCAGACGCGCAGCGCAGCGGCGAGCAACAGGATGGAGATCCCGGTGCCTGTACAGCCGTCTTGGCTGCGTCGTGCCTCCGCTCCGCTGCCTGGGCTCTCGGCGCCCGGCCGCCTCTTCGACCAGCGCTTCGGCGAGGGACTGCTGGAGGGCGAACTGGCTTCCATCTGCCCTGCCGCGCTCGCTCCATACTACTTGCGCGCACCCAGCGTGGCGCTGCCCACTGCCCAGGTGCCAACCCTGGGGGAGGGGCAGTCACCCTGGTCATGCCTAATGCCAGGGATCTTGGTCAACTTTAGGGGGCCGTGTAAGGGAGCATCGTGTCACTTTAAAAAGAATTCTGGTTACTCTGGGGCTTTTTGAGACATTTGAGGGAGGAATCCGACTCTGAAAGGTAGAAGGGACAGATTACTGACAGGGGCGAAAAGCCACCATTGTCGTCCTGACAAGAGTCTCATCAACTCTGAGGGGTATTTTGGCGACTCTAGAAAGGACCAGTGGTCAGCATTTTGAGGGACATGCGGTAACTTCCCCAGTAATTCTCAAGGGGAGAGGGTGGAGGGAACATTTTCCGTTACTTTGTGGGAGGAGGTGGAGGGATGCGGTGACCTGAAGCTTCCTGGAGAGAGATAGAAGGAGTCCTGTGACTTGTGGGAAGGGACCCTGGCCACGGAGAGAAGTGGGGGAGGGCGCGAGAGGCCCCCTGACTTGAGTGGGATGATGTGATGAGGACTTGGGGGAACAGGCATTTCGGAGATTTCTGGAGGTCTCCGATGACCCCCCCCCCGAGGGATGCGACGAGTGTGGGTGGGCAGGGGTTCCAGTGATTTGGAGGAGCCAGGCCGAGGCCATCGGGATAGGGCGGAGGCTCCTGAGGCTGCAGGGGGAGGGAGTCATTGCCCTGGGTTTAGAGAGAAATTCCAGTCATCAGGCGTTCTGGCTGAGGCAGGGAAGGGGCCCCTCCAGTTCCGGAGGCCAAGGCCAGCGGAGCCTGCGCGCCTGGGGGCGGGCCCTGCAGTGTTCTGGGCACTTCGACCCGCCCCTTTGACAACCACACACCCC